AGACCACGGACTTGACCTGGATAGCGTTGCGGGTCTGCGCGTCACGACAGTGCTTCCTTCCCACTACACCAGCCGGAGGGCTGCGGGGCAATCTGACCGACCTGAATCGAGGCTACGCGGTCCCGGCGGTCGACAGGACTCGGATTAACGAATGACATTGGATTACTGATGACGTCACTCTCCGACCAATCACGTTTGATCACCGTTCACTGTGTGAACATTAAGAAAATCTGTCCGGCCGCAGGACGGCCGACAGCGGCCTTTTGGCGCCGTGTTTAGCGAATCGACAAGACGCCGCTGCTTTTGACAATTGCCGCCCTGCATGAGAAGCTGACGGAACATGAGCCTCCTCTTGGGCGACTGAAAAGATATCCGTTTGTTCACAGATCCGACAGCCCAAACGCTGGCCATACACGGCCCTGCAAAAGCTGCACGTGTCGCCAAGGGCGTCGGCCGCGCTGGGCTAATAGTAGACCTTCCTAATAGAGGGCCCTTCTTCGCCTTGATTGGTTGATGATGATAGGTATTATAGGACGCGTCGGCTACTGAGGCGGTTTTGCGCATTGTTTGCCTTGTATGACGTCATCGCTTATGATGTGCACGCACACGCTGCACTTTGAAAAGTGAACGGAAGCATTGCCGCTTGGCCCCCCGCTCCCGCGCCTGCGTCCCTAAGCACGGATGCCCTCCCCCCCCCCCCCCTCCCATATGGTGCTCCGAACGTCATGTTCATCATTCACCCTTTCAAAACCCTTATCACATTTACTCGCCATATTTATCATCGGACAATAGCGAAGCGACCGCCGGACCGCTATCTTCCGATCGATAAACCGATCGTGACTGCTACTGGTGCTGGAACTTTTCGAGGCGATTGAGGTAGGAGGCGCATCACGAGTTGACATCGGGACTTTCAACAGCTGCCCGCGGATTCCACGGCTCCGTTCGGACCCGTCCGGGGAGAGGGAAGCTCGGGCACGGCCAGATGGGTCGAGTCGCGCCCGATAACATCTGCCGACGTCTCGTTAAGTCGGCGATGTTTGGTCAGGGGTCCGGCGGGACACGGCCGAAGGGACCGTATCAGTCATGCATGTGCTGCTGCTTTATATTAACAGCGTTTCTCGTTATGTAACATGGCTGCGAGTGCAGTTTCTTACGTAACGCTGCCTTCCAAAAGTCTGCTTTTTGTTGGCCCAGTCGTGATCGGGTTGAGTTCCGACTCCCGTGCTACGGAACAATTACGGGGTGAGACTTTTTTTTTCTCCGCGAATCATTTGTAGGTCGCACAGGAGTGCGAATGAGTTCAGCCCATTTTAAATGATTGCTTCCATATGCAAGTGCTCCTGTGGTGTAGGTATTTCCAGCAACGTGTAGTAGGACTGAATGAAGAAACCGTTGAATATGCAGTTGGGATTCGTTGAAACAATCCCGCATTCTCCAAAACATTGCATATGTAAGCCTACCCTATACGATGGACGCGATGCAACGTTGCATATACAAACCCATTATCAGCGGTCATGTCATACTAGCGGGGGCCGCCGTACCCCTCTGCTGTATCTTCCTCCTATGACCTCCTGTTCCTCAATCTGAGACAAACTTCGCTAGAATGAAACCCACAAGGGCACCAGTTGGGTTACGCAGTTGGTTAGCGCGCGTGCCAATGCAGGTGGGAGGTTGTTGTTTCAAACCTGACTTCAATTGGGTCTCCTCGACCGATTCCTTCCCAGGAGATGGCAGCAGCTGGGACGTCATCGCTATGGTGCTGTTCCTAACGCTGTTACGCAGTCTGCGCCCGCGGCGGCGGAATCACGAGCATGGTCTGCCTTTAAATTGACGCTCGGGTCCGGTCCGGTCCGGTGCGGTCCGATCCGGTGCGGTCCGATGCGGTCCAGTCCGGTCTGGTCTGGTCCGGTCCGGTCCGGTCTAGTCTGGTCTGATCTGGTCTGGTCTGGTCTGGTCTGGTCTGGTCTGGTCTGGTCTGGTCTGGTCTGATCTGTCTGGTCTGATCTGGTCTGGGCTGGTATGATCTGATCTGATCTGATCTGATCTGATCTGATCTGATCTGATCTGATCTAGTCTGGTCTGGTCTGGTCTGGTCTGGTCTGGTCTGGTCTGGTCTGGTCCGGCCTGGTCCGGCCAATGAGAGGGTGCGGCTTCGCTCTGGGCCACTAGAGCAGTCTCCTGACCTCCGGGTTCGAGAGATCGGGATAGGCCCACTGTGTGCGTACGTGCTGCGGCGAACGTTCTGACAGTAAGCGAGCGGTCAAGGTCGTTCTGCAAGGGCGCCGAAAATATCAAACCTCTACCGCATAGAGTGCAGTGCGCGTGTGTGCACATCCGTGGAACAAATTCCAAAATGCTCTGGGATGGAGAAGCAAAGATATTAAAAAAAGGATAAAAACGGGCGAAGTCCGACCAGCCTACACGAAATCTAACATGAACTAAGTAGCCCGAACCTGTGCGCTTCGTAAATCTTTGTCGCGTATGGTATCGGGGGTTCGGTTTCAAATTAACCGCGTCATTATGCCAATTTAGTCGCTTAAATGTATTCTAATGTTTCACGCATAACTATCTGACGTCGCTCTTCGCGTAATTAATGATGGGTGTACCTACTTTATGACCTATCCTTTGATGTCCGCTAAGGACGGTTGGGTCCGTATCTTGAACCCACTGTAGCGGAACAACGGGAAACACAGCTCATAGCGCGCCTCGAACCAGTCGGAAGTCAGGTCGCAAGTGAGACGCTCTCCCGAACTTCGACAGTCTCCTTCGTACGAGAACAGATGAGCCGGACCGAAACAGGGGATGAACAGGAGATGGGCCGGACCGAAGCCCACGGCCTCCGGGTCTCTCGGTACGACTTCTGTGTGAACGACGCTGGAGAGGTGGGATATGGTCAGATGGACATTATCGACAGGCTTTAATTGCTCGTGATCGCTAACTCTGCATCGCCTTTGGACGGGGTAAATATTTTGCCAAGTGGTGTCCGGCCCCACAAATGGAAATTTCAACATTAGATGCACGGAAATGTATGGAGGCATGAAACTCAAAAACCTCGTTTCGCTTGAAACCCACAGCCCACCTTTTCGCGATGACGCCGCAGACTTTACACCTGCCAAGCGTGGGCTTTGTTTTCGGTGGTACTGCCAAAAGGCACTGAGGTACAACAGGCGCAAAAGGCACTTCCTCTGCTGCGCTTCTTGTCATTCACTCACGTCCAATGATCCTGACTACAACCCTAATATCAAATTACGAGCGTTTGTGCCAGAGGAGCAGTTTTCTTGTTCAGTTGGATGTGGGGGGGGGGAGGAAGGATTAGCGCACGGGGTTCTGAGAAGAAAATGTGTCCAGTCTGGAGAGGAACGCATCTGTGTGTATTTAACAGATATGTCTAGGCACTTTTTCAATGCCCAAACTTATTTTGGTAAACTATGCGCCTGGTTTGTGACATCAGTCCTTAAAAGACCTCGACGATAGGCGCATATTATTTTTAGACGTGCCCGGCTCTTCTTGTTTATTGCGTGTAAATGGTGACGGCTATCAGTTCTTTCTAAATGTCACATCGATGGCAACACCTGTCAACTAACGCCCACATTAAACGTTGCATCCTGACATGGCAGCGCCCGATAAGCCGGCCCGGATGCCAATGTAAATAACCCCCTGAGGGAACTGGCCAGGGCTGATCGTCCCCATTGCCGCAGCCGGGCAATGGCGCCACGGCGTGGTGCGCCGGTGGCGCCCCCACGCTCCCCGCGAGGGGCGTGCCGTCGTCCGGCGGCACCAATGAGACGGCTGCTCGCCGTCCTCGAACCCCGTCCACGACTCCATCGCACCGCGAAGATCGCGGCCGTTTTCGAGACAGGCATCAACGCGGCTCGCGCGGACGCCGCGGCCGGCGCGGCGTAATTGCACGTGTCGCGCCGCGCCACAAGAGCGCCGCCGCGCCAATGATATGCGCTGGCCGCGTGGCGATGGCGGCGTCCAGCGGCGCGGCGCGGCGTCCGACGGTATCATGCCGCTGACATCCCGTCCTGTTCAGATATACGGAGCACTGTGACCGGCGGCGAGGGGCCGGCGCAATGGCGGCCGCCGCTGACACGTTCGATAGCCGTCTATGGTAATGTGCCGGGGCGCGGCGTGCGACGAGTACGCGGTGCATTTAAGCGAACACGTCATAAGTCACATCTTTCCGGCCGGCGGGTCGGCCGGGTGCTGCAAGCCGGCTGGGGCTCCGGCCGGCAGGTGGGGGTGGAGGTGGGCGAGGGGGGGGGGGTGCAGACCCCGGAGAAGCAGGGCGACTGCGCGGCGCTGATCTGGCGTTGCATCGTCTGGAGGCGGCTGTGATTTATGGGGGACATGTATTGAAACTGACCGCGTCATAAATCGGTCGAGGGGTCCTCCCCCAAATCGCTCTCCAGCCAGCGATGCCGTGCAGCGGGGTCGGCGTCTTGTAGCGGCGGGGCCGTGGGAGCCGGCGCCAGGGTTAATGAAAACGGCTCGCTGATGTTGATCGGTGTGAATATTTCGGTTCATGTGAGTTATGATGTCTGAATGTTAACATGGGGCTGTCTGCTACGCCCGCCTTCAGTATTTATGGCCGTCGTCCGGCAAGGAAGCGTGACAGTCTCTAGTTGTGGTAATTGTCGCTAGATGTCAGCAATGACGGCGTTGCAGCGTTTTGGAGAGGACCAGGAGCGAGTTCCTTTACCGATTGTCGCATCCTGCTTCAGCAGTGATGATGGGAGCTAGCCATGAGGAAATGAGTTTACAGCCAATGAACAGCTTTCGTATGATATCGAGGGATAACGTTGCTCGGTATTTCACTCATGCGACCGCAGACGTCTTCACACGCGAGAAATCACACTCATGCGTATGCCAGGCAAGTCACAAGGTTGTATACACCCAATTGGTGCATCCCACTGCAGTGCTTGATTCCAGCTGTGGTGAACAAGCTTGAAGACGTTTTCACTACCCTGCTGTAACACCGTCGTCTGTGGTTTCAGATCATTCCGGGGACGAGGAGGGCCTACATTTCGTGCCTGGTCTTGACGTGAAGCCGGACCGGCTGTCAATCTCGGAGCGAACAGACCGCAGCTCGTCCCCGGAGCAGGAGGGGCCGGCCGAGGGGAGTCCCGCCGACAGGGACGCGTCCCCGTCGTCCGACGCAGCCTCCGATTCAGCCGGCGCCGCGCCGCCCGCCATCCCGGCTGGGGAGTTGCCGAGCTCGCCAGTAGATGGCTCTTCGAAGACGCCGCCAGATGGCAGCAGTGCGCGGCAGCCGGCCGGCCCAGTGACGCCGCCCGACCCGGCCATGTTCGTCAGCGCCGAGATCAAGTCGGAGCCGGGGAGTCCCCGCGACGGCCGCAGCCCTCGCCTGGCCAGTCACAGCCCCAGCACGCCGTCACCTTTCATCATCATGCCGAACTTGCAGCGTGAGTTGGTGACCGGGACGTCTCGCGGGGACACCCGCGACGACCGTACACAACTCAGTGAAAGCTAAGGCAGTTGCTCGTGTGCTCAGTTACGCGCGATAGCTTAAAGTCGCAAGCCCGCAGTCATTTACGCCCAGGAACAGCACTACGCTATGCTGTGATGTTGGGTTGTGATGCGCATATCACTCAGCCGGACGCGGTAAGGAATGCCGCCACAATAGCTCATTCTGTTTCAGTATTCTCGCATCGATATCGCGAGGACACGGTTCGAAATTCTGCGGTAATCCCAGAGTGGATCCAAATGGGGGAGGGGGGGAGGGGAGGGGAAGGAGATATATCGGACCATGTTCTCTCAAGGCGGCTCAAGTTGGAGAATAGTTGACAATATTTTGGGCATTTCTAAAAAGGGACGCCAAACGCGTCGTAGTGTACACTTTTATAAAGCGACAGCAACTGCAGAGGAGTATGTTCAAATGCCGAGCGATGTAAGCATGACTGCCTGAAAATGCACCACAGGCGTGGCGCATTCCTTCTTAGACAACTGTCCACCGCACTACGGGTGGATTACGGACTACCCACTGCTGCCAAGTTCCCAGCAGATCCGATCTGTTAAACATATCCGTATAATCATGGCCGGCTCTCAAACTGGGAATTGATCGGGCCATTAGAGTAAAGATCGCAGGGAAGGTCACGCATAATACTCGTCCCATACTTTTTTGGCGGAGCGACTAGGGCCCGGTGGGCCGGAGACTGGTGACATTCACCACCCGAACACGGAAATAAGGAATCCAAGTTAAAATTTGATGGAGTCGCGACAGCCTGTTTGTGTTTGCAAACTTTGACAAATCCTTCCCTAAATGGAACCGCAATGTTTGTGGCCGCGGGCACAGCACTGCGCACATTCTGACATAGGGCCCGTGAACAGACATGCCGGAATTGCGTTACTGGTGCTAGGTTCCGCACGCAGGGAGGGAGCTTGGCTTGACATATCATCTGGACCAAAACTAACGGTGCAAACATTTTTGACACCATGAAATAAAAAACAAAGGGCTAGTCCAGAACGTCCTCTTGTTGGCAACCCTGGCTTGGGATAAGAATCCCAAAGGTCGGTCATGCATTCCTCCTCGTCTGGTTTAAACAGACTCAGATTCTGCTTCCTTTAATTGCAAGGAATGCTCTACACCAAACCTCCCGTATAAAAGAGGCATAAGCCTTCTTCAAAATTCAGGAACGCGTCATTTTGCAACGTGGGTCATCTGAGGAGGGAGGGATGCGTGATCCAGTTGACCCATTGTGTCCTTAAAATTGGAATGAGCAGATATTGTGCTGAATGTTACAACTATAATGGAGAAGTTAAACAATTGTTAAAATTCGCATTGTGTTCTTAAATTAGCGCCAGGAACTGCGCTATTCATGACTAGCATGAATGCCCCGTCTATCGATGGAATTAATTTTTTGGCAACCCTGGCTTTGGCAAACCCACTCCACTTTCAATCCCTGCTCGGGCTCCCTTAATGCATATAAGCAAGGAGAGATTACTTGGCCAAAGAAGTGCGGAAGAGCAATCTTGACACTCGTCCCTTTATTTTTCGCACACGTGACTGCAACTGTCAGCGCTGTCACACTGTCTTCCAGCGATTGCAGCAGAATAAGCAGAAACACGTGTGCCAGAGGATCATAATGGACAAAGCTCTATTACTGATACACATGCATCAGTCGTAGATACATAGATTATATCGTATGTCTTGGTGCCATGATTGCTGGCCGCTTGTTCAGCGCAGCACGTGTATTTCTCGTTTTACCGGTCTTGCTTGGGTTTCGTTTGGTTTGGTAGGATTCGGTCAGGTCCTGCATTCCACAGACCATTTCAGGTCTGGTGTGGGAGGGGGGGGGGGGAGGGGCTGGGAGGGTGTAATGGCCGAGTGATTGGCACCTTCGGCTCCAGCGTACCCTCTTCCAAGGGAACACGATGCACGACGTCGCGCATCCTTTTATAGAGCGCTAGCGACTACAGCGGCCATAATAGCGCTCAGACGTCATGACCTAACCGGGACTCGAACACGCCCCCCCCCCCCGTGGAGGCTGGAGGTGACAAACACTCGAGCACGGCCCCATCCCACGTGGGGGCTAGAGGTGACAAACACTCGGACATTACGCCCTCCCCCTTCGTAAGGGTAGCTGCGCGGACGAGGCCACGACCCGCGAGCACGTAACCGCGCGCATGGCGGATGCGTGTAGCTTGCCGCGGGCAATAGGGACGTCGCGAGGATGCGGAATAAAGCGAGATTTCGTGAAAAATAACGCGTGCCTTGTCTGGCTTTTATTTACCTCTTAAGTCGCTCCCGCAAGGATTCTTGCAGGTCAGGTAAACATGATTTCTATGAATTGTGCGGTAATTCAACGGGGCCTTGTGTTTACGGTAAGGACCATTGTTTTGAGACGTCTTTGAGGCGTGGATGGTCGCGCGTGGCAGTACGTTTGTATATATGTATATATATATATATATATATATATATATATATATATATATATATATATATATGTATATATACATATATATATATATGTGTGTATATATATATGTATATATATATATATATATATATATATATATATATATATATATATATAACTAAGGAAACGGCTCTATCGCAAGCGGATGAAGAACTACGCTTGTCTTGGCTTGAGTGATAAGTACCTTTTCGGCTTATCGGCTATCGGCTAATAAATATATTTCGGCTTATGTAAGTGCCTGACACCATCATGGTCCTTTTCTAAAAGCCTGCTAAGCATAAGACGGTTGCAATTCGCTCACTGTTCTCGCTAACGTTAAGCTTAGTAGCGATAGATGCAGACCACTTCTAAAGTGAAGAGTAACTTGAGCAACATTGTGCTGGGATCTGTGAAAAGCCGACTCGGGCCACCGAAGTCGTCATTGTCAGTCACGGGAACTGCTCACGTTAACGTGTGTGGTTGACGATATTGACAACGGCCTGCTTTAAGTGACAGTAACTTAAGCTCTGGTCAGCGTTCGTTTAGGCCATGAAAAAGACAAATACGGCACCTGCAAACTGCAAAACGTCTCTCAAAGCTTGCGCGGAACGTAACGGGACTTATTGTTTGGATAAGTTGCCAAGCCCGATTGGACTCGAATCAAATCGACTCGGCTGAAGTGGACTGGATCGGTCTGGCCCGACCCGACCTGACCCGACCCGACCTGACCTGAACCGACCTGACCTGACCCGACCCAACCTGAACCGACCTGACCCGGCGTAACCCGACCGAATCTGACCCGACCCGACCCGACTCGACCCGACCCGACCCGACCCGACCCGACCCGACCCGACCCGACCCGACCCGACCCGACCTGACCTCAACCGACCTGACCCGACCTAACCTCAACCGACCTGACCCGACGTAACCATACCAAACCTGACCCGACCCGACCCGACCCGACCTGACCTGACCTGACCTGACCTGACCTGACCTGACCAGACCAGACCAGACCAGACCTGACCTGACCCGACCTGACCCGACGTAACCCGACCAAACCCGACCCGACCCGACCCGACCCGACGTAACCTGAACCGACCTGACCCGACCTAACCTGAACCGACCTGACCCGACCTGACCTGACCCGACCGGACCCGACCCGACCTGACCCGACCCGACCCGACCCGACCCGACCGAATCCTTGCAGCGGGCTTACAGTTTCACAACCTATAGGCTCAGCGAGATTGGCGTTTTGACTAGTGCTTTGTCCCATGTCTTAAATTTATTTGTCCCATGTTTTAAATTTATGTGAAAGTAATCGCGTCCTTTCAAATTGATGGCGCACTCAAATGGTTTCTGTGGAACATTGCTTAACTTAGGTTACTGATGGTCTGTTGAATTCGCCAGCTTGTTATCGATGAGAACCAGCGCAATAGTATGCGAGGCGTGATCATAGGCCCGATGACATCCCATACCTTTCGCCGCCACCATATTGCCTGAATCGTTCGCAGGGTATCGCCATACCACGCTTAGTAGTTAATGCTCGGAATAATGCAAGTTAAGCCCACATTTGCGCATTTATATCAATTATTGAGATGTTAAGCATACATTGTGGTGAGTGACGTCATGAAAATCGTTATTGCGTGAAACATTCTGCTTCCGTAAGTCAATTATGCCAATGGTACTGTGGATTCTGCTTTGGTGTGAGTGTCTCGCTCGCTGTGTCCTGAGCACTTCACTGTTACATAAAGCTTGTGTTTTTCAGATTTTCAGTCCGTATAAGGAGTTATAACCCATGTTCTCCGCCATCATTAACAGCCAGAGGGCATTAGAGGTACTTCGGTTGGGTGTTGACCTTAGGTCGGAAATCCTTGACGGGTTTTCCTTGAGAAAGATGTGGGGGCCGAATCACTAATGAGCTAGCATGCTGAATACAATGTCACCGTCCTCGGCAGCAATCTCGTCTTTTTATCGACAAATATTTCCAGCTTGGCTGTTTCTGAGTTCCGTAAGTCACGGAGTGGTTTCATTTCTTTAGCTTGGCCGCACCCCGGATCTTGGCAGGTTGTTCGCCATCGCCCCCACACCAAAGTTATCACCAACCCAACCGAGCGCGGAACACGTTGGAAACGAAGCTCAACGATACCCGCAGCACAGTTTGCTCGCAGTTTTAATGGTGCGTCGAGGCCATGGATAACGCACCCCGCGGCGACATCGGCTGCCGACAGGACACGACTCACCGCGTCGTCTCTCCACGAGGACGTCACGGGCGGCGCGGTCGATGATTAGCCATCTAGTCCCGGACTCGTTAGTGGCGCTCGCGTCGCATTGCAGATGATTAGCTGTGTTTGCTGTGCGCCGGCGGCGCCTGATCGTCGGACACGTAGCCTCGCGTCGGCGCCGGGTGTTTTCTCACAGTGTTTGGCGAGGCGTGATCGACGGTCAGACATCATCCGCGTGATTATGGCGACGTGGCTGGATTTCGCCATGCGGATCTCATTACTGTG